TAATAATAATAATAATAATAATAATAATAATAATAATAAAGAAAGAGAAGAAGAAGAAGATGATGATGATGAGAACTTGGAGATCAAATATTAATGTAAGGATTAAGCAATAATAATAACAAATGTCAAGGTTAGAGGTTCCACTAATGGTATATCAAACAAGTATAGTATAAACTCTTATTATTGAATTGGAAACCACACACAAAGGAGGTTCCAATCAGATTATATATTGTTAACATGATTACATTAGTCATCTTATTCAATTAATGCTAATACTTGTAAATCTCGTCAAGCATTCATGATTATAACTTATGTTAACAATAAATCAAGTTCCTTTCATAGCTCAGGTGTCGGTTATACCATACATTATGGGCTATGAAAGTGCCAAGCATTTGTTGTACCAAGTGTTATACAACATAAATCAAGATTTGTCATTTAACAAGCAAAGTATTAAAGAGTGAACAAGATAACAAATATAAAACATGTTAGTATCAAACATTAAGGTCCATATTAAGTTTACATTATACTTATTCTTACACCATTAGTGTAACCTTTTCACCTTGACATAATTAACTTAGCTAGACATAATGAAAGAAAGCAAAATAGATAAACAAAATAAGAACATAAAAGTTAACTAAGTAAAGGAAAGGAAATGAAAGGCATAAACTTAATATTAATGAAAACAAAGCATAAAAAATACAAAGAGAGAAAGGAAGAGCATGATCTTGATCTGGAAACCAAGATGCCTAAATGCATGGCAAATGCCTCCTTTTATAGGCTAAAATTGGGAACTATTGATTTGATGACTAATTGATAAGTGGGTGGCCAACTTTTGACTTGGTGACAATCTTTATCTTCTCTTGTCTGCCCAAAACGTCATTGATAACGTCAAAATTGGAGCCAGTTGCAAACATGAAAGTTGTAGGCAATTGTCTCAGCTTTCTTGTGTAAAACATTCAGCTCATTTGGACTTCTAGAACTCCAGATATGGCCAAAATACCGAACAGTGCTCGGGCTGGAAGACAGATTCGGGCTTCTTTGTTGTTGCTACAATTTGGACTTGATAATGGCCTTTTTAGATCTTGGGCTCCATATGAAAGTTGTAGGCCTATGTCTTACCTTTCCATCCATATAAATTAGACCTAAATCTGAGATCTGTAGCTCCAGATATGACCCAATTACCTAACAGTGTTCCGGTTTGGACTGCATCAGCACATATTTTCTAAGTTTGGCCATCTTTTTGTCATTTTAATTTTAATTCTTAAACTCATCAATCAATCCTTTCATTTATGTGATGGGCCTGCATTTA